AGACTAGACATCCAAAGGCACTACTTTACAGTCAGGGCGGCTAGGATCTGGAACCAACTTCCAAGGGAAGTGGTGATGGCTCCTATCCTGGGGGTCTTTAAGAGGAGGCTTGATGTCTACCTGGCTGAGGTGATTTGAGCCCGGTTTCTCTCCTGCCCAGGGCAGGGGATCAGACTTGATGATCTACAAGGTCCCTTCTGACCCTACTTCTATGAATTTATGAATCTATGAGAACATTTGAAAAACGTCTCTCCTCAAGCTATGTGGGGAATGTTAGTATGAGAATGGGACCTTTTGGTCTCCCTCCATACTGCCACTGAGTTGAAGGGGCAGAACTGGAAGCCAGGAGACAATGCTAGGATGGCAGACCATGGGAACAAGAAAGAAACATTTCTTCATTGAGAAATAATATAAATTACTGGGGGAGAAAAATCTTTCCTACTATTTTTCTCACTGTGCAATTCACTGAAGCTGTGTTCAGATATCAGTAGTCTGACACACCTGCAATGTGAGTTTGGTGCCACCTAAAGGCAGGACTAGAGAATGACCCAAACTATAATTTTTTTTAATCAATAATTTATTATGTTCATTGGTGTCAAACACTGTAATTACAAAGCCTGAACTCTAGCCTCACCACCTCTTGAAAGGTAATTATACCTTCCTCAAACGGATTTCTTTTGGCTGAAGTTATGCAGGATTGGTCTCTGACAGGTTTTTTTTTGTTTAATTTGAGATGAATTGATTCAGGTGTTTGAGTTACAAGTTACATGAGTGCTAAAGACAAACCCTCCTTTTCCTATATGGGGCTTCATATTCATTGTACTGTGCTCCCATCCAGAGGCCTCATCTAAGACCGAGGTCCTTGGACAGGCACCTATAAAGATATTGTTACCAAAAACCATGTACTATTCAGTCTTTTGAGAGACAAGACTACAGATTGTTTATGACCAGGACATCTTTGCAAGCTTAGACCCAGAATTCAGGGACAGTTATAATTCCCTTACTGATCACCCCTTTTGTAAACCAAGTCAAGATATACTCACATGTCCCAGTGATCCACCATTCCCTCTTAGCTGGTATAGCACTACTACCACCCAAGACAGATAAAGAAGCAAGAGAGAGGTGTATAGCCCAACTTTTTTATTGATTACACCCAAAGCATAAGAATAAGCACTTGTCTCTATGTCTCTCTGGCTACCTGCAACAGCACAATACAGATTCTCACCTGTGCTGGCTGAAGGAGGCACAGGAGGGAGGAAGAAGGTTGTCTTGACTTTGCAAAGGTCTTCCCCACAGATTCATTCACCTGTTTACACCCAATATTTAGATGTGGCTTTAAAAAAATATTCTGATTGGTGTCATTCAAATTTGTTTCACTGAAACTTTAGGAACTAGACTGAACCAGGTTTCCTATGGACTTGGAAGATGCCAATTTGCTGGGGTCTGCGTCCCCGAGAAAAGTATAGTCTGGGGAGGGAGGACTTCTTATCTCTTTCCCTCACCATTTGGGAATGCTACTTGCCATGTTTTGCTCAATAGACTGATTATAACATACAACAGGTTAACAAAACAAAACAAAACATCAATTTTTACTTCTAGCTGCTGTTACACACCTTTTCAAAAAGCAGTTTTTAATTCTTGACCAAGTCTAATATTAAAGGCTAGATTAACAGCTTCTTATTCTACTTCCTCAGGATGCTGCTGCTTGTGATTTAAATATAATCATATTGATTATATATCAGCTTAAGCGCATATCATTTATAATTTAGGCTTTTGCTAGTTCTGTAATCTCCACTAACCCATATGGTCTGTCAGTCACTGACCATGTCTATAGCCCACAATATGATTCTTGTGCAGAAGAACTTAACACTAAATGAATGAAAGATATCACCACCAAAATCATTGCCCCTCAAATTAAATTGAATATTATTGTCCACCCAACTGAAACAGCTGAAGCAAATAACTTGGCTTCCAGCCTGAAGTCCTTAGAGAAGAAGAAAAACTAGTTGCTTCTTTTGCTTGAAACAATCCCCCTTGACTAGTTTAATAGGCCATGACCCTCTCCACCCTAAAAATCACTCTTTAAGACAGATTTCTGCTGTACTGATGACAGCAAATTAGCCAACTAGTGATGACTAATTCAGGAAAAAAAATCCACTTTATATCATATATGTGGAATTATCCATGGGCTGATCTAGGATTTTAATAACGGGGAGTGCAGATGGTGTGGTACATCATCCCATATAACACAACATATATTTTTCTCCAGTTAAAAAGAAACTAGATACTTTACTAATATGCTTGGGGAAAGGGGTGGATAGCAATATATTAATGAGTTTAAAATCAAAGCAAAAACAAATATAACTTTTGAAATGTCTATTAGTCTGCTAGATTACATGTAAAGTTTGAAAAAAGTACAACAAACTAGGCAAACAAGTAAAAATAATGTTTAATTAGTCTTGTAGTTAATAATATAGTTAAATGTATGTCTGTAGGGCTGTAGGGCTGTGGAATACAAGAGAGACATTACCAGGGGATGGCTAATGGACAGCAAAATTGAAGAAGAAAGCACAGTGCTCGCTCCAGCCTCCCCTCCTCACCCTGGGTAATGTGCTGCATGCCAGAGTGTGCATGGCACAGGCATTCCCCAGGGACAACTAGTAGTGGCACAAGGTGTACAGCTGCTAGTTGTTCCTGGGGAACCAAACATCCATGCACGTTTGGACGTGGCCTTTAAGTTTAAGCACACTTAAATACGCTTCTTAGCTTAGTTCTTTCCTTTTTCTCTTCCTTATTTCCTTAAAAATAGAATGGAAAATAAATGCAAAACTGTGCCAAGTTAGTGAAGGTTATTAATAAAGGTTAAAACATCCAGAAGGTTGTCACATAATCCAAAATTAGGAAAATAAAAAATTTGGGGGTCAGATTCCATCCTTACCCAACTGAGTATATATCCAGAGTAACTTCATTATTGCATTTATAATAATTTGTGATGAGAATCTTGGCCGAGGTGTTTAAATGCAACTGGAACAATCCCCATTGCACTTACATATTATTCCACTGATTCTCTCTGTATTGAATGTAAACCTTGATGCAGCTATCTACATGATGTGCTGAGTTCCCCTATATGAGGCCCTATTCATATTTGTTCAATATACATTAAATTAGTCCACATGACAATATACATTTTTAATAGACTAATAACCTTTCAAAATAACAAAATGCTGCCACAACTCTGCTGAAAAAAAATCTCGTGCTTCATATATACTATCCTTTATTCACTCCTCTTTTGTTATTATGCATAATGAGGACTTTATGTTTTTTTGGCAGTCACCCTTCCTTGCATGTTTATCAAGTGCCATGAATATCTTTGTAACTGCAGAAATAATAAATGGCAATAAATAGCAATTATGATTAGTAACAACATCAGCAGCATGATGAAATTAAAACTGCCTTACCTTTTGACTGTATTGACTTTTGTTCATTTCATGTATGTGGTTCATTCCTTTCACATTCAGTTTTGTCTTTCACGGTAAAATAATGCATTCATTATTGAGCAGTGACAGTGTTCTTGGGATTGTACAAACAAAGGGCAACTGCTGCCCCAAATAGTTTATAGTCCAAGTTGGACGCACAGTTTAGTCAATATTCTTTGGTGAAAGATCTAATTTTTCTATTAGAATAACTTGATTTTTTTAAATTTCAGACATCTACATAACAGCTTCAGAGGAGCAAACAGACATACGTATAACTGTTTTTAATTACAGTCTCTAACATCTTTTATCTCTGAAGAGTTGGGCTCAAATCTGCCTTAAACTACTGCATTCTGAATTAATTGTCTCAACTCTGACCTACTTCAGATGACAAAAGCATACAGGGACAGCTCTTCCTATCCATATGTGGATCTATCGTCTCCCATATAGGAAGGGAGTATGGATGTTTCTGTAGAAGTGTTCCACATTTCAGGACCTGACAGAGCACTTCCTAGCTGGGCCTGTGGAACAGAGATAGGGGTATGGTAAGCCAGGACAGGTGGGACATGCACCATGTCACTCTCTCCCTGCTGTTTAACTTCACTGGAAAAGTTAAGACCATATATTAACTTTTTTCAGGGAACTGCCACTTGAGGAAATTACTGCTTGGAGGACAGAGCTTTTAGCTGGATCCCAGCTCCTCTCAGTGGATGGTTCTCACCTCCTGTTCTCCCTCGATCCACCAGGTTTAGAAGCAATTTATTTTTGCAAGGCATAGGCAGCACCTGTCCTTCTGGGATGAGGTAGGGGAACTGCTGTGTGAGGAATAGGCTTTCTTCTTTTTTTACCATGGAAGAGGATGATCTGGCCCACAATTAGGTATAATGAGCCATTTCAACCCAGAGAAGGCATGGTGTTTTAATAGCAGGGGGTGCTGCAGCTCAGTAACTTGATGGCCTAGTATAGAGTTGTCCAACTTCTGAGTGGCTGGGGGCCACAGGCGACCTCAACTGATGCATGGGCTGCACACACCTGGGCCATGTGCTGCATGGGCTACATGCTGCGTCCCTCTCCTGCACTGCACCAGTGTCATGCAGGAGCCCTGGGTCCCCCCATGCTGCAAGCTCCTTCACTGCACACACTGCACCATACCACACCTCTCCACCCCAAGGGGTAGGGGCAGGAAATGAAAGTTGGAGAGGGGAGGGGAAGCCTGGACAATCCAGTGGCAGCAGCAGGACAGTGATGTGGGGAGCAATGCCCAGACTGGGAGCCTGAGGGGGTCGGACTCGATGATCTATTGAGGTCCCTTCTGACCCTAGCATGTATGAGGACCCGAAGCAGCTTGCAGGCTGCCTGTTGAACAGCTCCAAACTAGCAAAACCATGATTTTTTCAAAAACATTATGTAAGTATATTCACCTGACCCTCTGGATATATTCCCCATGGAGAAACCAGTGGCTAAAAACTATAAATATACAATCAGGACATGATGTACAAACAACTTGTACTGTCCCAAACTACTCACCAGTTAGTTGGTGCTAAGAATGAAGACAAAGGTAAAGACAACTTTTCCCTTGGCACCCATAGAGTATGCTTGTCCTTGTAAGGAAGGCATGTGTCGTAATGGCAAGGATATTGGTCAGGAAGGGAGAAACCTGGCCTCTGCTCTTCACTCTGCCACTGACTTGCTGCATAGTCTTGGGAGATGAAGTCACCTCTTTTGCTTGGTCTGTGAAATGTAGAACATGTTCAGTCCATTTGCCAATTGCTTTGAAATCCACAGTTAAAATCCTATTAAAACTATTGGTGAAGGGAGGAGGGACAATCTCACCCTCTTGTCTCTTCTGGGGCTTTCAGGGAAAAATGGGAGAAGAGGAAGATAAATGTTTATGACTTGCCGACAAACCTGGGACTCTCCAAGAATACCACCACTCACATCACTTCCCTTTATGTCTAGACTAGCTTAGGTTAGGTCAGAAAGGGGCATGACCTGGACTGATGTGATGGCAGGCTGGAAATGGGTGTCGTCACCTTTGTGTTGTGGCGCAAGAATTTGTGGAGGCACAAAGCGTAAGCAAACGGATGTCTCTTCCCTTGTCATACCATGAATACCCCAAATCTGTGGCCATGGCACAGGCAGTATAAAACTGTGCTGCTTTTTCATGGCTTATATCTGATGTTTGCTTTATGGCAGGAATCCAGAGCTGAGCTCTCCAGCCACCCTGGGCAGGTGCTGCCAAGATTTCCTGTGCACCCCAGGACTCCCCACTCAGAACTTGTGTGTGGACCCCAAGCCAACAGGCAGTGGCAGGATGAGGAGTGGAGGAGCATCAAATGCCAGGGACTGGTTTGGGGTGGAGGTAAAACCCGTGCTGCGCCAGGCTACAGTATGTCTGTGTGTGAAGTTACACATTGCACTTAGATCATACTAACTCTGTGGCATACAAAGTGGTGTTAAAGTTAGAATGTGCTGAGAGCAGTCGCATGTTAGGGGTTAATACTGTTTCTTGCCACTTGACTCACCACTGGGGGCTGGCAGCAGGGGCATAGCTAGAAGCCAAGACACCTGGGCTTGATCCCTGATGGGGGGGGGCTGGGAGTGGTGCATCCTGGGATGCTGGAGGAATGTAGATTGCTTGTTTTATCTCCATGGAGTAGACTGAAGTTACCCTGACACAAGCTGGGCACCATCACCTGAAGGGGCGTCACTTTGAGATGCTCTTTGGGCACTTAGCATGAGTTAATGAGCTTTTAACATGTGGATGCTCACCTTTTAAGTATCTAAGTGTAATGTGCAACTTTGCTCTGTGCCTGGCAACTGCTCCTGCCCTTCCACTTGTGGATCACAGCTAGGTCTAGGGATCCATTGGTGGTGACATGAACCTTGCATAGCCACCTGTAACAGGGTGGCCTGTCCCCTTAAGAGGAGACAGCTAGCTTGGCTGAAAGGCTGCAGCTCTAGGAAGGCTCATGAGGGAGTGGCTCCCTGGGAATCAAAAACTCAAGCAAGCAGAACCAGAGGGAGATACCGAAAAGGAGCATCAGAGACCGGAAATTTCGGGACTACCAGGAGGGCAAGCCTGGGATAGGAAGGTGGAAAACACAGCAGACCCCTTCCAGTGTCCAGGATAACAAGGTTTTTTGTTTACTTGCTTTATTTTGCTAAAAGACTGAATATTACTGTGGCATGCTGAAAAATGCTCTGGGTAGCAAAAGCCAGCAGGTTTAAAGACTGCATTTTAATCAGGCTTGCTGAGAGATGCTTGGGGAAGGGGCAAGCCTATTTGAAAAGGCCCACAGGTGGTAACTTGCTACACCACTGCCATTTACTGCTTTTTCCCCACTTCACCTCCCAAACCCCCCACCCCCTGCCCTGTGGGGATGAGCATGGTCAGACAGACAAGCCTGTGTCCCCATCTCTGCATGGCTCCTTGCCACACCCCTTGGGCAGAACAGAGGATTTTGAAAAGGGGGGTGAGATGGTGTCATCACCTCTAACACAATACACATTCCCCCCCCCCCTTAAAGAGAAACTAGAAGCTTTGCCAGGTGCTCAGGGCTGTAGGATCCAATTCAAGATCAAAGTAAAAACTAAAAGAACTGTATTGGAAAGTGCACTAATTTGCTACATATTATGTGTGTGTTGTCTTTAATTTTAATTTTTTAAATACTTAATACATGGAACGAGGCAAAAATAGTCCAAAACATTGGTTTCTTAGTTTTGTAGTCATGGATAACTACAGGAATATATGGATAACGTGCCCATCGCTTGGATGCATAACAGAAAACCTAGCCATTCTGGGTATCCTGACACAGCCTCCGACCCTTTGCTGCCAGTTGCTGTCACACCCACATGCTGGTTCACTTGGGTGAATATTCCCGTGCCTGAGCCAAGTGTTCAGCTAGAACAAGCAGTAGTCTGGAGGGCTGTGAAACAAAGGAGAGCTGCTCGGGGAGGATGCGGAGTGGGGATGGTGGTGTAGCCACACCCCACCTCTCCAACCAGGCCAGCCCAGCGGCAGCCAGGGATGGAAGTCTAGAAGCAGGTAAGCGTTTTCCTTTCCCCTCTGTGCTCAAAGTCCCCTCTGCGCTCTCTTCCCTTCCCATTCCCCCACCGAGTCCTGGGGCCTCCTGGTCAACCTCTTCCTGGCTCTGGCCAAGCTGACCATCTGTGGCCATTTATACACATACATTTGTCTGCTTCGACAAAATGGCAGGGGTGCACTTTTGAACTAAAACACCTTCCATGCGTTTTAGTTCAAAAGCGCACCACCGCCATTTTCTGTGCTGACACACATTGCGCCATTTATACAAACGCATGTGCCAAAAGCGCCTGGCGCTGCAGCGGCCCAAGCACGTCTACAAATGCCCTATAAGACCAGGAAGGAGGCTCTGGCTGGGAGGACCCGCGGGACTGCAGGGCTGCTTTCCTGTCCCTCGCGCATTCACGTCTCGGGGCAGAGCAAAACTGGGCAGCATTCAGTGGCTCCCGGGATGCGCTGGAGGGCCAGTGGGCGTGGGCTGGCATGCTCTGCTCTGTGCCCCCCTCAGTGCACTCGGGATGAGCTCGTGGCCTCACTCTGGGCCCCGTTTTGTTTTTCGTTTGTCCCAAGCAATCAGCCATAGGCCCCTAGTGGCCCCCAGCCCCAAAGGGGGCTCAGAGCCCTACTTGGCGGCTTTCAGCCCACTGTCCCACCTCGTATGGAAAGGCCTTCCCCTTTTCCAGCCGGGGCAGCACTGGGACCTCCTGGCCCTGGATCGGCCCAGGCCCGTGGCAGCAGGCAGGCACCTCCCTGCTGCCTGCCAGCCGGCGGCACGCATGAGGAGGAGGAGCACACCCCTGTGGCGAAGCAGGCGCTCCCCCTCCTCCTGGGGCAGATGCAGCGGGGAGGGGGCAAGGCTTGGCTCCCTTGGCACACGAGTCCTTGCGTCAGGACTGGGCAGGCAAGGGCTGCAACCCCTGCAGCCGGGAGCGGCCCCCGGGGGTGCACTGGGCCACTTGCGCCCCCTTGGACTCCTGACATACCCAGGCCCCGCGGGAAGCCTCAAGCCAGGCGCGCGCTGCCCCTTTAAGAGTCATTAGACATGCCCCGCCCCCCATGGGACTCCGGCCGCGCCCCCCTACGATGACATCATTTCTATCTGGCGGTTGGTCGTTGTCGACGTCAAGTAACGGCCA